ACTATTCTTCTGCTTCTACTTCCCCATCTACTTCTCTGTTTTCATTGCTTCCATGCTTCTCCTTCTGCTTCTCTGCATTTCCATTTCTCTGATTTTTCAGAGAAATCAATTATTCCGAAACGACCTAATTATTCGTTATTTGTTGCGCTTAATTTTCACTCGAGAATCTCGCAAATTACTAATTATTAAATATTTCGTGTTAACACCATACGGACAATTGAAATACAACTTTTTTAATTAAACATCGGAGGATGCGACGCAACAGAGTTGGGGAGAGGCGAAAGAAGCGAAGGAATGGAAAGGAAGGATCGAAGTCTCTAAAACTGTCACGAATATATATTCAATAATTTCGTGGAATATCTCGCGGAAATTTGGTCGTCACAGAACAATATTCCTCGAACCTCTCCTCGCAGAAATTATTCCGTAACGAAGTTCCAGCAACGACATCTTGTTAATTGTGTAATTCGATATTTTGCGCTATGCGCAAATGATATTTCTGGCTGTACAAACAACACAGTGTCGTTGGACTTGTTCGAATATGGTACTTTCCTTTCCTTTTTTTTTTTTAAATATTCAATCAAGATTTATATTTTGTTTCTAATTGTAACTTAAACCTGTTATTTTAACAATTAAATAAACGAAGGTTAAATAAATTGGTTGATATTTGGAATAATAGGCATGCAATGCTTATTCTTTCAATTAATCCTTTGTGTCCGCGTGAAAACAGTATTTTTCCCTAGAAAAGAACTAGGGAAAAATATAGTTATAAGGTTAAGATTTATCATATTATAATTTAGAAAGATCTACTACTTTACTGGCATTTATTAGTATAAATTGGTGAATTTTAATTGCATTGGAGGAATATTCTCGCGAAAAAATGAATTGGAAATGCAGGATGAAGCTCCACGTAGGAATGCTGATTCTTTAGAATGATCGATTTCGAAGATACGTAAAGTATGCGCGTCCTGGATTAAAAATTCGGTTGAATAAATTCCATTGCACGTGGACTGGAATATATAATAAGTAGGTGCGTGTGGGTATCACAATTTAAATTCTTCCACGGGGAAATCACTTGAACCGTTTGGAAAATTTCTAGATAAATCTTTTCTCTCCAATTTATTTTAAATTCTGTCCGTCCAATTAAGTCAAGTGTCAAATAATTTTTAATTCCTTTTTTCTCTGACTTGTTTCATCGACTCGACGCGTCTTAAAAAAAAAAGAAAATCTTATCGGAAAATAATTATTGATCGCGTCAGAGATCTTTTAATATTTAAAAATTTAATATTTAAATGATAAATTGAGATATCACACGAGTTTACCGATTTAAAGATTCTAACAATAATAAGATAACAATGATTACCAAAATATATTGAATATTCAATGTGGAAAGTGTGGGATCGGTATCATGGATTATCCTAATTTATAATTAGCATCGAAGTTGTACAAATTATACAAAAAAAAAAACATGCAAATTTAGTGAAGAATTTAAAATGGAATTAAAGTATATTTATTTACACATCTTGAATGTTAAGATAAAGAATTAAATATCCTAATTTTTCTGCATTATTTTATCTATTTTATTCAAGTTTCGAATATCGGTGCTCGATTCAAGTGAAATCGAAAATTTTATATAAACTTTTGGCAAGCACACGATAAATATTTGTAGAATGGAAATAATCTTGGAAACAATATCTTGAACATATTTCGTCGGATTGTAAATGATACGCATAAAATAATATAAAACATTCAATGTTTTGTATTGTGATACTTGCACAACTGTAATTAGTAATCATAGATTTATAAATCATTTTCCATTAAAATATACAGTTGTATATTATGCAAAATGTAATCTTATAAAATTTTTTCAAAATTGCAAACATTTCTTCGTACCCTTTTCATTCTCTTAACAAAAATTTCGATTTGTATAAACATAAGATTAATTAATCTCGTATCTTTAACAAAAAAAAAAATCGATCCACCCATCATTCAATATTGTTTCGTGAAAGGAAAACATTCAATAATGATTATCGTTCATACGATATAATACATCTCACGTCATCCACAGTTCCTCGGCCATAAAGACTTAACAAAGGGCTATGCTATCTTTATCCTAACGACTTTGTTTTGTTAATATCAAATAATGTCGTACGAGTCGAATGACGTCAAAGGAACGAGATGAAGAAGTGTGAGAGAATTGCAATTGACAATTCTTTCGCATAATGGAGAAAAAAAAGAGTATATATATATATTTTTCTTCTTTTTCTTTTCCTTCCTTCTATCTGTCGTAATAAATTACGGAGGAAGTGAGAATGAAAAGGAGGAAGTCGAGGAATATATTTTCACATCGGTAGCCTCATTGTCTGGTGCAACATCGCTTGTGCTACTGCGCGACCCTTTATGGTCAAAGCACTTCGAAGCACCGATCAAACGAGCGGTATACGAATTTGTAATTTGACAACCAAACGTTAAATATTAATTTGAATCGATGAATTCGGCTGATTATTCTGATTTGAACGTTTATGATTTTTTTTTTCGAGTGATATATTCTTCGAACAAATGTCTACAGAATAGAAAAATCCTGTTTTCGATTTCTCGAGACGATTGTATTTATAATGATAGGGAAAAAAAGAAGAGAATGGAAGAGAATTGGAAAAGAGAATTTTTTTTTTTAAAACGGTATTAAAATCTTTAAGATGTTGAGAAGATGGGACAAGAAAATAATTAAATCTGTCGAAATGTGTTAAATGACAATTTGCTACTATCCATTCGTTTACACAAATACGTTTAATTAACGGTAATTATGATATATTGTAATTATAATAACAGATAATTTGATTAATTTCAACGTGACATAAATACATAATTTCCCATTGTGCTTCTCATTGTCTGATTAAATTAAATAATTGATAACAAACAAGCTATCAAATTTAATCTATGTTTAAAATTTCGTTCGAGCAATTTTTTTTTTTTAAAATCATAATTCAAAATGATAATTTGTAGCATTTCTGTTTCTAAACTTCTTAATCACGGTCGAATTAAATAAAAAAGAATAAAAAAAATTGCTCGAAATTCGTATATACATATGAGGATATATCTTTCGAGAGACGTTTCGAAAGAATTAACGAGGGAACGGAGAAAAAGTTCCACGAAATTTACATCTTGAATTTCATTTATTTTATTTTCTGTGGAAGGATTGGTCATGCTACGATCGATACTTTCGCAAATCCGCGTGTAACTCCGCGATTCTTGCGAGGATTTTAATTGAATTCCGCGAAAAAAATGAAATTAAACGCTCGCCATGGTAACCGATTGCCAGAAAATAAAAACGTATTCACTTTATCCTTCTTTTATTCTCGTTTTCTTAATCCTTTAATCTCGTAAAATAAATAAGAAACTTTTCATTGTAAAAAATCGAGACTTTTGTGAAAAAAATGAAAAACATAACCTATTAATATAAAAAGATCAAATGTATACATGTTGTCATTCGATAAACAGATATATTCTTTTAAAACGAAATTCCATTTGTAAAATATTAAGTTTCTTTAATTTTTTTCACCAATCAACCGTGCTTTAAAACAATCGAGATTTTCAGTTTATAAGATTAAACATTGAACCGTTCCGTTTGATGTATCCACGAATCTGTGCGAAAGCTTGAAATATTTGGTAAATAGACACAAGAGAAATTATACGGAATGTTATTCATGCAAACTATGCAAATTTTTCCCGAATCAAAAATGTGAAAAATTTAATGGTATTTAATTATGTTTCGTTGAGTAACAATAATGATGAATTAATTATTGACCATTTATTACGAAAAAGATGCATTTAAGTGGCTATGCAAAAATTTCACAATAATATAAATATAATTTTGTAAGGCACTCAAAACGAAGCAATCTACTTTTTTGAAGATTTATTCTTATATTTCCTGGACAATACATAAAACACGTATGAAAATTCGATACTAGGGAAATATATGAAATATGAAAATAGGGATTTTAATAATTCCTATTTGTTAATCGTAAGATCAATTCGAACCAAGAATAATATTAAATTGATACAAAATTTGATTTTAATTTTATGAAATATCATATTATATTAAATAATATATAAGTTATTTTTAACAATTCATAAAATTATTATCGAAAAAGAAAAAAATAAAAAGTTACTAAAACAATAATGCCACTTTCACAAATGCTTTAGTTATATTTAAATAAAAAATCGTTTGAAATCTCTTTATATTCTTTTTCGAAAAAACATTTAAACAATAAACATTTTTTTTTTCCACAAATAAGTGCCACAAATATTTTCATTCTTTATTTTCTCTTCGATTAGAGAAAAACAGTATCAATTTTGTTCTCATTTAATTATTCTCATTAAAAATTCAATTGTGTAAAAAAGATAATATTTAAATTAAGAATTTGTTTAATGAACATTGTACATAATTAATGGAATAAATAATTAAGTTATATTATTTCAAGCGAAACGAAATATCTAAATGTATTTGAAGAACGTATGATTTATGACATTTATAACATTTAGAAGTTTATGTATTCAACTAGTATTCGATAAATAAATTGATTAGTTAAATTTTAAGTATTTCAATTTTATCTCAGTTAAGGATATTTTTTTCGCTTGAATTTCACTGAAGATGTTTAAACGTGATTCGTTAAAAAAATTATATTCCTAGATGCTAATTATATTCTTTATTTTTTATGTCTCGATAAAGCAACGATTTTGAAAAAGTCACTACGATATAATACTCTTCAAAATATCTATTTTTCGAATTAAAATTCGAATTAAAAAGAAAAAAAGATATAAAAAAAAATATAATCGAAATATGATCGTTACTATCATTCATTATAACTTTCGTGGCGGGATATTCAAACTCTTAATAATACACATTATCTTGTCAATCGAATTATTACAAATTTACACATAAAAAAAAACCTATTACTTCAAAAATAATATTTCACAATTACACAATAATAATTAGGACTTACCGATACGATGACAAGTAACGAAGACACTAGTTTGATTTCTCTTTGAAGACAATAGCAGATTCTTGATGACAAGTAGAAATCGTATAAGAGAAAAATCCGTTACTATATAATTGTAGACATAGATCGTACTCGCGAATTGTCTATTGGTAGATATTACGTGCAACGACCTCCGTGATTCGTTTCTTGTGCTATGCGATAGGTGCACCTGTTTGCGTGTCACTTAACCGTCATGTATATATATATATGCACAAAAAAACCCGAGGATTTTTTACGAATCGAACGCGTATTTATTATTTCGTATCGGTGTATAATCACGTTATTAGATTTTTTAAAACATTAAATAAATGATAAATTGAAGCAATATAGAATTTACGCCATATAAATAATACCGGTCCTACCGCGTTCACGGTCGAAGCGATACTGCGAGGCTCGTAGCGACCCGGCGTCCCCTTCCACCATCGACCCGGAGCGCAATAACCAATCAGTGTTTTCGATTCTCTAACGTTTAAACTCCTTCCGTTAGATCCATGAAAGGCCGATGTCAGTTATGTGAGGGGGTGGAAAGCACTTTCGGCGGTCTCACGTGTTGCTTCGCTGTAAACATCGATGATCTGGATTTAATTCAATTACCCAAACGTAACGAAATGATGTCCGAATTCTTGTGTCGATGCAAATATAGTCGATCGTAGTATATATAATGAAAACAGATATTCGAGGAATTCCTTATTCGTAAATAAAAGTGTATTACATGGAATGAAAAGAAGAAGAATAAACATATTGTGGCGGCCATAATGACGTGTAGGTAACGAAATTAAAATGTAGAATGTGTTATGTATTTGTATATTAATATTTAATATATAATATTATTTATATTTAATATTTTTTTCTTTAAATGTAGATAACATATATGATAAAAAAGAGAAATAAAAATAGTGTTCGATAATTTATTGCGAATATAAGGTTATGTATTCGTATTATTTTATTTCGAAATCAATTTTTTTTTAAATATAACGAAACATTTACATTTATAGAGATGTTTAATATTTAGGAATTCAAATTTTATAAATAATGTTATAGAATTCATCTTGTTGATTAAATATTGATTAAATATATCAAATAAAATGAAATATGAATTGATTATTAAATTATATGTACATTAGTTAAATATAAAATATTAATAATACATGTAATTACATAATTTATATTTTGAATTGTTTAAAACTTTTAAATTTATAATTAGATACTAAAATTAATTAGATATTAAAAAATTAAATAAAATTTTTACGTAATAAATAATTACATAAGATATTAAAATTTTTTTAATATTATGCAAAAATGAATATATAATTTTTAATAAATTATAAATCATTCATTTAAATGTACTAAAATGTAATAAAATGGCAAAATTTTTTAATTAAAGTTTAAAGAATTAAAATTTCTTTGATAATGTGATAATTAATAATTTCACAATGGATAATGTATAAAAGTTTCTAAACCAGAATATAATTAGCATTTCCCAAGAGATTACTTCTTGCCACAGATTTTACTTATGTTTATTATTGTCTTTTTATTATCTGTTCTATCTTTTAACAAAAAATATTCTTGAACTTTTATTAGATATATATTCCTTAATGTCGTTTAATTTATTAATTTATTAATTATTTAAATTAATCTTTTCAAATTTCTATGCAAAAAATTTTAATTTAAAATTAATTAATAACATAAAATATTCAAAATATTTCATGATTTAATATTTTAATCTAAAAACTATACACATAAATTTCATTAATTAATAATGTATTAATAATTAATAATAATTAATAATAAGATTAAATAAAAGTTTATTATTAAGTTTATTAAATGTTATGTTAAAGATTTATAATATTGAAAATATCGAAAATTTTCGCCTATTATTAAGATTTAGATAGATAAATATCATTAATATTTTATGATAACATTTATTAATGTATATTTAATGGCAATCTGTGGATATTGAGTTATAACTTTGATGGACGTGACCTGTGTCCTTGATGAATTTCGACAAGTTGATTCGAGCAAAGTCATGAAGTTCCTTATACTAATATTCCTACAAACTTGTTACTTTGCTATAGTAGCATCTGTAGAGTTTAACCTCACTAATGAGGTTATGTTAGTTGTAGAATTTTAATTGCAATATAATTATATGAATAATTTTTATATCAGTTGTTAAACATATTCCACAAAATTGAACATTGCATTTTTTTTATTGTAATATTTTAAATACATATAATATGAAGAAAAAAATTTTAATTGGTTTGCTTAATATAATTTTGTAAATTTTTTTTTTTAAACGTCACATTTTTTTTTAATGAAAAATTAAATTTTAAATTATATTCTTTATTCGTATTATAAATAGAAAGGCTCGTTGAGAGTTATATGAAGACGATTTTTGTTATTTCGTTATGTTAACTTGTTACGGAAGTTATTTCACGTACCGCTTTTAAATTTAACGCAAACAAAATGCATTTCTGTTTTGACAACAAGTAATAAATAATTCATAACAACTGTGAAAACGAAATAAAAAGTCATTATTTATTTAAAAAATGTAAGTTTAATTCAAAAAATACTTAAAATATTTTTTTCTCTATATTTTAAAAGATTTATAATTTTATTATTTGAGAAAAAAGTTCCAATAACCACGTATTTAAGAAATTAAATAAAATATTGAGATATTATTATGAGATATATTATTATCATCTTCAATAAGTTTCTGGTTTTAAATGATTTTAAACATTTCTATATTTCGTAATTTATAAAATTATATATATATATATAATATATCTGATAATATTTTATTTCTATGAGATTTTGTTGTATTCATCTTATAGTTCTTTCCTTGATTGATTTTATATTTCTTTTTGAACTTTATATTATTTCTAATGTACAGATAGAATAGTGATCCTTGTAACAAAGAGAAGAACTTACAATTTTTGGAATTGGAAATAAAAATAATTTAGATACGATCATTTCTAATCTCTTTATTACGATTGGAATATTTAAATCTTGTAAAGAAACACAATTTCCTATATTTTTATTTTATTTTATATACCTTTTTTTTTACATATTATATAATTGTATAAAAATACATTGTAAAATTCTTTGATAATTTTTAAATAGAATTTTATTTATTTACAGTTTATCTTTTTTAATAACAAAATTGGAATGAATTACTATGGAACATGATACTATAATGATACAATGATTAAGAAAAAATCAAGAATTATTAATAAGATCTGTTGTTTGAATAATCAGAACCACAGTTTCGAGTAAACGATACAGTAAAAATATAATTTGTAGAAAATGAAATCTACTTCATGAGTAGTTTAATTCTAGTAACGTCAAATGCATTACTATATTAAAAAAGATAATTTAGATGAAAAATCTTTTAATCTCTGAATCTAAAGAAGAAAAGGAATGTATAATTTAATTTAATTTAAATTATGGATAATTTGATTTAAATTTTTAACAATGGAAACAAAAATTATGTATATATTTATATAAATATAATCTTACAGTATAATAAAAAATTTTAGACGGATATTAATCATTTATGTATAGTTTTTATATATTTATATATCAATATTTATATATATGCAAAGTATCAATCATATTATATTTTTTTTATTATTGTTTCGATATAAAATTTTCTAACATTTATTTTTCAGATACTTCAAAACATTCTTCGTGTAAGAATTAACGCCACTCAGATTCTAATTGATTTCATCTTGAAAGAGTTTAAGTGATATTATAGTCGCCTGAGTTTTTATCCTGACAATGAAATACGGTAATTTCTCGATCCTTTTAGTATCAATTACATTATGAAACTACTTTCTCGTTCATTTTCATTGCCTAATGTGATTCTTTTGTTTCTTTATTATTATAAAACTATCATTATGATTATATTGTAAGTACTTTTAATATATGAAGATAATATATTTCATATTTGCACGTGAAATATACGAAACGTTAACGAAATGAATGCCAGTAATCATACAAAAAATATTATCATCTTAGTGCATATATGATTTGAATATTTTCTTAGTATTACGTATAAAATAAATCGATTTCAATTTGCCTTTGACACATGGGTCACATGGATGAGACGTGGTTTCGAATTTATTAACTATGTATGTTATGCAATTCTCAATATATACAGAACATATTATCACAGCTACGAATATCTGTGAAAATACAGATTTCGTAATGATATAGATTACAAAATTGTATAATCATGGGAAATAATTATAAATTTCAATGTGATTTTTATTTCGTTTGTCAAAGGTTTACAATTTAAAACTTTGTGTTAATTTTATGAAAATGGAATTATCTAGAAATCTAACTTTAAAAATAAGAATAGAAAGTGATAGCTTTTCTTTTATTTACAACTGATTTACATATTTGAATATTTGAATAATATGTTCAATTATAATATAATTAATATAATTTTTTTTAATATAAAATTCAGGCATGTAATTTAATTTAAAAATTTCCTACTTTATTAATAATATATTCGTCGATATATTTCAAATTGAATCATTATATTTAAATATGTAAATTACTCAATCGTTATGAAAATTTATTAAGAGATTGAATTTCATCGAAGATTATTTCGTAATTGGTTCGTATTTGCGTGTAGTGACAATTGAAATTTATTATCAGAATTACAGAATAATTTTCAATAATTTTCAAGAGGATGTATGATGAAATATATGATGTGACAAACAGATTTATCTGTATAAAATATGCACAAAACGTGTCTAACGTATAAATGAATGTAATTTTATAATAATTCCGAAATTAATGAAATTTCCATAAGTTTATTAATTAATCAATTATAATATTTCGTACATGACATCTTCTTATGATACGATAATAAACTTTAAATGCAATCTTGTAAATCTTTTTCTATGAAAGAATTGTTTGAAATAAAAAAGTGTAAATATTCACCAAATATTTATAAAATTGAGATTTACACGATTAAATTCTCTCGACCTAATTTTAAGACGTTTCATTTAATGCAACTGCTTTTTATCAAAGTAATTACTAGGTACGTGTAATTAAGAAAATTCTTTGAAGTAAAATATTACAAATATTAAATTTTCTTTTGTACTCTATTGTCAATTTTCTTTGTTAATTACGTTAATCTAATTTACTTTAATTTTCAAATATTAAATTCCATTTCGTAATTTTTTTCTTACATCTTCAAAGCTTCGAAACTTTTAAATTTTTATTTTTTTTAAATTCAACTTCAAGAACTTTTTCTAAGAGTGCTTATTATAACCACTTGTTATAATTACAAATATAACTGAGAGAATATTTCTCTTGTTAAATTTTGAGATTGATCCATCGCGAAATGTGCAATATATATATATATGTTATGAATATTCAGAGAAATGAATATTTATCTTACTAATTTTTCTACCAGTTTTATTTCATAAATCAAAATAAACCATTGTGAAAATATGATTTGTTCGACTGTATTAAATTTAAAGTTAATTTTCAATGGCAAATATTAAACATATTTTATCTTTAACGCATGAAAATCTGATGAAAATCTAATCTCTCGTGTTCGAGATTATATTTAAACATTTTTAAAAATAAAATTATAAATAAATAAATAAAATCATCATTATTAAAAGAGATAGTGTTAATACAATTCATTCAAAACAATACAACAAGTAATAAACGCTTAAAAAAAGGTATACATGGCTTCATAAAATCCACAATAAGAGAGGAAATTAAAGAAAATAGGTTTTATTAAAAATGAATTAATATCTTGCTGCCTTTGTATCGATCTTAAAGTACTTATTTTGTACTTTTTACAAATAAAATTTTTATAATTGATTTCAGAAGAAAAAATTTGTTGAAATGAATACAATAAATATTTCTATGCTATTCATAACATATGTTGCATGCTTTATGTTTCAATAATAAAAATTAATGGTCGCTTTGTTTCAGAACTGTAAAAAATAAAAATTTTATTTTTAGATGTATTTTATTAGTGGTATTTTATATTGAAAGTTTCAATATGGAAAAAGTATCATTTTTATCATTGATATTATTATAGATTATTTTATATTTTATCAATTGCGGGAAAGATTAGTAATAATTGAAGCTTATGTTATTTGTATTAAATATGTGTATAATATTACGTTCAATATAATTGAAAGTAGTTCCTGAAACAAGTCCTGAATTAATAATTGTTTATAAATTTCATAAAAAAATATCTTTATATTCATAAGAGTTAGTAATAATTATTATATCATTACGTCAGATTACAAATTAAATAATAATGATTTATTGAAGCATGATTATCTGCTATTACCGAGGCGTTAATATCAGATATTTTATATTATTATTTTGTTTTTCACAATTTTATTATTAAAAGTGAAGATAATAAATGATAATTTATTTATATTTATATATTTTTTTTTTTTTTTAGTATAGAACGGTGATTCACAACTGGATAATTACACAAAGTTTTCATTTTACTTCTATAATTCATAATTCCAATAAATCTTAAGACAATACACTTAGAGAAAATGTTCAAGTGAAAGCAATAACACTTGTCCCTTGTAGACCTGAAATCGATTTCCCTGCGGCTATTCACCCCTATAAAACATGCAACTGCAGCAGACTATTGTGAAATGATCGAACAAAAATTTCTGATTTCAATTTAAAATCGAACTATCCAACGTCATACGAAATCCGCTCTCAACTCTCAAAGGTTTAACTTACTCTATGATATTATGATTAATTTAATTTCTATTATAATTCCATAGTTTATTATAATATACAATTTATTTTTCTATATTCAATATTCATGTTCAACAAAATGATGAAATATTATTTAATTTATATTCAATTTCGAGTTTTATTTTCAACGAATATTATTTAAGAGAATGTTTTATCAGTAGATTCTGAATCGGCCATTTCATATGCAACAATCTAATAATAAGTGAATTACGATTCGAATACCGTGAACCGATGTTCAACAGATGTGAAACGAGAAGCAGGAATAAGAAAAAGAAAATAATCCACACTCGTTAAATCAGCGTACAAGAGTAGTTTAAGCCATTACTCTGGAAAGAAAGACGCGAGAAAAAGTTCAAAGGAGTACCGTACGCTTTGATTATTGGCACACGCCATTGTTAATAGCAGTCGTTCAAAAATGAACGGGAAACGAGAAATGTTGGAATAACATTTCGATATATCTTTTCCACTTTAGAAGTTTTAATAATTAAGCGAGTTTAATTTTCTTAAATGATAACCAGATCTTATAGAAAGTAAAAAAGTAAAAAGTTTAATACATAATTTAGCGGATTTTCCAAAATTTCTTTCATAAAAGATTTGTTTTCACATTGATTGAGAATATAAATATCCATTTTCTACGTTATTATTATTTTATTATTTTCTATATTATTTATTGAAATATAAATAAATATTAATACCATTATTACAGGAAATATAAAAATCCAAGAGGATTATTTCCAAATATTTAAGGGATGATTCTTCTGAGATAATATACATATAATATAAATATATTGCTAAGAAAAATAAATTCTCATTTTCATGGTATATTTTTGTATTTAATTAGAATTGTAAGTATAATTTTAATTGAGATCAGTTTTATTTCTCATTTTTATTTCTTAATGCGTATTTCCATTTTGCAATATATTAACATAAATTTTTTCCTTGAAGAATTTTCTTTAGAACATAAGTCAAGTTGAAAAGTAACGATGGAAGATATTAAACTCTGCAGTTGTAGCACTACGTGTAACACTGTGTCTGCGGAACCGGAAAATTGATCCAAAGATTGGTTTCAAAAGAAAGTTATTTTTACAAGAAAAAGTACGGTATCAGTTCTTTTCTATCTATATGTATTTTTTAAGAATCTTGGAATAATCAGAAATATCAAAACTTGAAAAATTCTTCTTATATTGTGATTTTATAAAATATTACTATAAAAAAAGAAATTTCTAGATGAACTTTTTCAAAAATATAATTTAATAATTAATTTTAAAAAATTCTTTCTTTATTTGATAATCGCTAAATATTTAAATTAACAAAAATTATGATTGCAAATATTGAAAAGTTTATATTACTTTTAAAACTATTGACAGGTATTTCATTTATGAATATTCATTTACGAATATTCAATTAATTTCAAAATTTCTGTGTGGAATGCGGAGCATCTGCAAAAGAACATAAAATATAAATTCAACTCATAGTTAAGCTCTAAGTAAGTCTATTTACGACAATACCCATAAACATATAGTAGTGCCCTTTACTGAAATATTCATTGCTAAAGTTGGTTCTGTGGATATATGGTTTCAATTTCCCTTTTTCTTTTGGCTTATCGCACTGAGCAGTTTTTCGTTTTAAAAAATCCTCTCTTATTATTTATACATTACGAAAAGAATGTATTCTTAATTCTTTTATTCATCTTTTTTATCATTTTATCATTTTCATAAGTAAATTTAATATTAACTGAAAATAAATTTTATGTCAGCAATGTAAAATTGAATTATATTTTCTATCACAGTGATAATGCAATAAGATCAGTTAAAATGAATAATTTATCAGATATTTGTAAAAAAATTAATTAATATGTCTAAAACATTAAAGTAAAACTCATCAAAAGTTAAAAAAAAAGATTACAAAATTTTTTATCTAATAAAATTCATCTCAAATGAATCTAATGTAATAATTAAAAACTTCTTCTAAAACTTCATAGTTCTAAAACATAATAAAAACTTCTTCTAAAATTTCATTGAATTATCTTCTATAATTCATCATATAATTCGATACATTTCGTTCTCTATTTTCTCTTTTTATTTACTAGTATCTATTATTAAAAATTATCAAATTAATTATAATTAAAGCAAAAAACATAGGCATGTATGCAATTTTGATAAAGTACACACTTTTGTTAAAATTTTAATTGTACAATTTTTTTTTTCAGAGATGCGCGAATAAGCTCTCATTTTCTCTCTTTCTCTTTAATCAAAGCATATGTTTTCATCGAAAATTCATGTTGATTACAGCGTTGAATTTCTTTGTAGTATTCCCAAGCGGAATCGTCAATTCCAGCATTTAACAAGAGGCACGGAATAGACGTGGACGTCCCTCGCGTAGAGACACTTTCCACTTCTCTTTTTTATTTTCTGAATAGCGTTGGATGAAGTTCAGTAGGAGATCTCGGTTTATTTAACCTGTGACAAATTTCCTGGATAATTTACTTACATGCCAGGAACCGCGAGAACAGTGTTTTAACTCGACCACTAACTGGACACGCTTGTTGCACCCAATTGGAAGTAATCTGCCGTATAGCTGGTCGTATTTGCGGTATTTGCTTACTTTCGTAAACATCAGGTTACCCTCTCGACGATTAATTTGAATTTTACTTGTGTGTGTGTTGAGATAGCATATAAATGAGATTACTGGAAAATAAAAGATATGAATAATAAAAGGATATTAATTGAAGAGACGATGTGGATGGCTTTGAACGATGTGGATGAATATAATTTTAAAGAATAAAATTGATAAAATGTAATTAACACCTTATATGATTAAATTGAAATTCTTTTTCAAAGAATGATATGAATAAAAATGAAATGCGATTAAGTTTGACATACTTCGATTGAGATGATGAATGAAGGTGAAGTATGATTAATATCCTTTGGTGTACTAATACAATTTTATTGAAATTATCTTTCATGGAAATATTAATTTAATTTTTTTTTCGTATGTAAAGAATTTTTATGTAAAGAAAATAACAAGCACATTTATGTTTACAATTTTTAATGAATTTCTGTGTTACAATAACTATAAAATGAAACTTTTAATAACATACAATTATATTATAGTATACAAATAAGATAAAATATGAAAAAGAGCATATTTTTTATAAATTTATATTTTTCAATAAAATTATTTTAACAAAAGATAGAATTTTAATTTTTATTAAGAATATAAGCTTGAACATGTATTTCAATTTATTCAATTCAATTCAGATAAAATTTAGTGAAAGAGATTTTACAGCTTACTACAATCTTCTTTTCTTCAATTAATTTCTATTGATAATAAATTAAAAAAAAATTATCAAAAGTTATCAATTTCTTTAAGAAATTCAATTTCAATTCAATCAAAGATCGTAACAATTTTATTTTAATAAAATAATTATTATTCTTATAAAATAAAGAATATGTAGAATTGATACTATTACCAAGTATCGATCGTTCCACTATCGATTATGTATCGATATTCAAATATGGCGGCTATTTATAAATTCTATTTTTTTTAAGTAATATTTATTTGCAGTGCTATGGAATCATCGATTTCGTGACAATAAAATTTTCTGTTTTCTGGATGTGACGCGGATGCGCACAAAACTTTGACGTCAAACGTTCCCGCTGAACGGACAGGACCTTCCGGCTCCTATGGATATTGATTTTCCATGTTTCGAGGTTTCTAGAGCAGCCGAATACGCGCATGTACAGCTATATATGCGCATGTGCAGCTATTGACATCAACATGGCGGCCTACCGCGCTCGAATCTTCTTTCGTCGCATTTCAACGCGTTCGCGATGATACACAAGGATGCACAAGGTACGCGAATGTACAATTTAATTTACGAACCTCTTGCGAGGTGTTGCTGATCAATATGGCTGACAATAGACATGCCATTGTCACGTGCTTGCTGATCGTCACTTCAGTCGCGATTGTTGATGGTAAGCTTGATGTACCGATTACTTATTTTGTCTCATTACTTGTTTTCTTATTTATTTATATTATTAAAAAACTTAATTCGCAAAGTCATATATATATTTCCTTATTCTTTGGTTTAATTACATATTTTTAAATTTGGATAATCTTAATGCGAATTTGGTAAAATTTATTTTTCTTTTTTTTCTTTTTTTTTTGTTTTTTTGTTTTTTATTTTATTTATTTATTTTTTATTTTGTTCTGTATGTGATTTTATTTGATTTATAAATAGATTATTTGAATGAATGCTTTATTTATATGATTTTTTAAAGAAATTCAAGAATATAATTTTGTCTATATATAATCAAGATACCGAATATATATACAGAAAACTACACCTGTTGAAGCATTTATTTTTAAGTATTAGGCCATTGACATATAGAAGTGCAATAAGCTATAAACATAATAAGCTTTTATAACTTAATATAATCTAATATAATCTGCTTGTATAACTTAATATAATCTAATTTAACCTAATCTGACTTATATGTTTGATTTATTTTCTATCGTTTAATGATCGTTTAATTTATCATTTTGTCGCTTATCATTTATTGCTTGTTCTTCTATATGTCCACACCCTTAGAATTTATGCTATGAATCATATAAAAAGTGATCGATACCCATGATAATTTGATTTTTATTTAATTTTAATTATTTTTTTTTGTTAATTTTACTTTAATACTGTAATTCAATAGATTCATTTTTTAAACAATGTAATTATCCGATTTAGCAATAAATAATGTCAAATTACTATAAAAATATTTAAAATCAAATTTTTTGTAGCTAAATTACTGACGATTATTTACATTGTATCATTAAAAAAATAAATCTATCGAATTATTGATATTAAAAAACAAAAAAAAGAAAAATGAAAATTAAAAGTATAAACGAGAAATAAAAGTAGAAAAAAAATTTTATAGTGTCTTACATTTTATTTTGTTATAATTATTTTATGGATTTTTATTAATATCTATATATTTATCTATTAATTGTATTATGATTATCAGGGCAATTATTGTCTACGGAACATCGAACTCATGCAGCATCGGAACGAGTGAACGATTTATGGTGTTATCAGTGTGAAACGATGGAAGATGGAGAGAAATGTTCCAATCTTACCGGAAATTATAGCGCTTTCGAATACAAGTGCACTGGTGACAAAAGGACTTGCATGGTAATGACAAATGATAACACCGATTCAAATGCTTGTTGATTATATGCAGAAACATACGCGGACTCTCCACCAGATGTTTGATATTCTATTTCTCTCGCATGTTTTTACACCAAACAGAACGTTACTAGGCAGCTAACTAGAAGTGATAACTTATTTATCATCCGCAGAAGCCTATTAAAGATAGGAACGAAATTTCCTTGCAACATAATGTAATATTCCTAAATTTTGTAATTAGTAAAAATAATCATAATAATTCTACTTTTTTATTTGATAAAGAAATAAAAATTTGAAAAAATCAAATTTGACAAATCATTTTTAATTGATATTTTGACACAGACCTAGATGAAATTCATTTCAAATAATAATTTAAAAATAATTATTGAAAATAATATATATAGAATGATCATTGACATTTGAGTATTTCAAAAGTAATATTCTCTTCAGTAGAATTATATTACAGTGACATTCAGATATATAGATTATTTTGTTAAATATCAGATGTCATAAATTAGATTCACAAATATTTGATTAAATTTAGTTTCATGAAAATTTTACATTCAAAATGAAACTCATTTTATAAATATTCATAAATGATTAGAATAATTAAAATTAGAATTTTTTTTAATATTTTAAAATATAGTATTCTTTAAAAATTTAAATTTCTTAAATACTCATAATGTTAATAATACTTCTTACACATTTTTATTAACACATATTATTTTTTTTTTCAGGTGAAACGATTTTCTTACACCACCAGCACTGAAGATTCAACCTCTAGTCCTCAAACGTGGTCGATGGAAAGGAAGTGTACCAGTAAATGCGATCCTGGATGTATAGTGATCGGCGAACGTACAAAACTGTCGGCTTGCACTACTTGTTGCGAACAATCATTTTGCAATGTTGGCACTGGTGCTGCGAATGAATTGATGATAAATTGGATCGATCTATTTCTAGCTTTAGTATTGCAAATTACATTGACAATCATTATACATCCGTCCTGACATTGCAAACAAAATGATTCTCAATCTTCCGTGTAAATAATATAATCAATTAGTTATTATGTACATATCATTCGAATTTTAATTTTGATAAAATAAAAATGAAAAATTTCGTGACATTTATGTTTAAACATACGCTGTAATATACGTTGTAATATGCATAAATGTAATATTTATTATATTTAATTTTGTAAATATATTAGAAATCAATTTGATTGTTTCATATTCCATAAAGCTATATTATATTATATCATGGATTAAAATGTATCTAAATAAACTTTAGAAAAATATTAAAAATATTAAATATATTAAAAGAATTGTTAATAACATGGTAATAATTAATTTATGGAGTATGATGAAGTACTGTTCAATTATTTAAATTGAACGTGTCTTCTTATTTACAATTTTATTATTATATTTCAAATTGTTATATAATGTTGGAATATATGATATAATATTACTGTATAAATTGTATAAATATTTATGAATTTTATTTATTTAATTTTTTAACTGATTGTTCTTTGTAATAAATACTTTTTATTGATATTAATTTCATCGATTAATCTTTGTTTGGTTTCCAATAGAAATGAAATACTTTATTCAATGATATTAAAATTTTAGGGGAACGAGGGAAATTCAGTTACATTCTATTCACATGGGATCAGATATCCAAAACACATCGTTTAAGTTGTCAGTGTATTTACAGCTGTAACCAATTACCGTAATTGCACACAACCTAAATGAAAGCATTCAGCTTAAACTCGTGTCCCAACAACATCCTGGAAATCTGCGTATTATCTCGTTCGTAGAACCAAAGAAGGCTTCGATTGAACGTCAATCCAACTCTTGCTAAAATGAACATTGTACGATTCTCGATTTCTAGAAAGTTCTGACGAAATTTTCAGTGCATCGAGTGACATCATTCGTTAAATTAATTTTATGAAATAATTTTTTTTTAATTTTTTTGATATTTAAAAATTCTAATGAATTTTAGAATACTCGTATATTAAAATGTACGTTTGAATAAAGAAAATTTATCATGTACAACAATCGTTATGAAAACTTAAGATAGTGCACGGGAATGAATCTCGTAGAAAATAAGATAATATTGCCTTGTTAAGAGACAATAAAATCATTCTCGGAAAGAATTCAGCACGATCATCGTCGAATATAATCTTCTTTCGAAAAAGCACGTGTATTAATCTATCATACACGTGATGCTTTAACACATTTTTTGTCTTCATTCTTAAATTAATTAAATAATTTTGTTCATAACGATATAAGGAATACAAATTCTATATGTTTTTAAATATTCACAATTAAATTCTTCGAAATTCTTCGAAATATTTTAACTTTTTAGGGTTTGAAATCGATGGAGAAAAAAGTGAAATTCAAATAATTCGAAACTCAAATTTTCGAATCTCGAAAGAGAGAAAGTAAAAGCAAGCCAAGAAGACAAATCAAATAATTATATTATATTAATATCACTATTATTATTATTACACGATCACAAGACTTAAGCTTGTACTAATATTAAAAATCAAAATTTTGTTCAGATTTTAATTTTCAAGTTAATAGAAATCTTTAGAAAAAAAAAAAGGAAAAATGCAGTGACGCGGATAAATAAATTATCTCTTCTCTATCTCCATCAGAAGAAAGAAATGACCGGAACAGATTTAATTCCCTTTGATTAGATCCATTGCGTATTCTAGTGAATACGGTTCAAGGGAAACGAGGAATTCTGGTGGGGCGGCTCGAGCACGAAATCCTCTTGGCCCTTGTTAAACCTCGCTTCTCGGGGTCGAACAATGCGTTTCGTCGGCATCCTCCGTTTCTCCGGTGATTGCACATAAAGCTGCCATTATTAGAACTTCAGTGGGCGGGAGAAGTTTGCTGCTTTTTCCAGCCACGCGTTTTCGCGCTTACTCTTACACACAATTTGCTCGCGCGCGTTTCGTTCCTCCATCCACTCCATGTGGCCGCCAGTTGCACCACGACTCTTGTTCCTTCGTGTTCGCATCGCCGCATTCGACGAGGCAAAATATAACACGAGAATCATTCCATTTCGCGTCACTTTTACCACGTGAACAGGAATAACACGCGCCGTTTCTAGGCGAAGAAATCTTCAAGTCGAATGTAAGCTTGAATTTTCCCGTGTTCAGAGCTGTACAATCGTATCATAATTCTTCGTGTTCGCACCATTGTACATGTATCGAGACAAATGTGATATAAGAATTATTCCACGCTGTTTCGAGACAGAGAAATTTGTTAGTCGAGTGTGAATTTTCATGTGTTTACAAGCCTGTGTAATCGGTGTTAGCATAACTCTCCTTCCTTCGTGTTTACATACGCCGTACACGTATCGAGACAAAATATAACACGAGAACTGTTTCATTTTACTTTTATACTTACGAAGAGAACAACACGTGTCGTTTAGAGAAATTGTGCAATGTGAGCTTGAATTTTCGCGTGTTCCGTGTAATTACCGTTAGTCGCACGATGTCATTTTTATCACGTGGCGCACTATTTCGAAAGGAAAAAAATCATAAGTTGGATTCGAATTTTCACGCGAAAAGGCAATTGTCGCGGTACAAAATTTCTTTCTTCTCATTACATTTTCATTCTAAACCATTTTTAACGATTACCATCAACACATATCGTTTCGAGACGGAAAAATTGTAATTCGTAAAATGTAAATTGGAATTTTCACGTGTGAGAAATCTTCGAGATGATTAGCATTTACATCGCGAATCTTGTTTCTTAACATTCACATCAGAAGTTAGACGAACTATTCTTCGTTCTCTTATCTAAATTTTTACCACACCACAGATAATATAGACGATTTCGTAAATCTTCGAATCGGAAAGTTAAATTTTCGCGAGTGATAAAAATCACGAGGAAAGGCGTACGATTGTCGCGATCGCTATTATCGCTCGTTCTACTTTCGACCACGCTCGCGATTCAGTTACTGATTCGCGGTGAATTGTTAATTGTCGCTAGTTTTTCGTGATACGCAAACGAAAGTTCGAGCTTGCTAGAGTTTCGTCGAAGAATTACTCTCTCTCGTATTGTAAAAAGTTGTGTAAAGTGATATTTTCGTATCCTGTTTCGTTCTTCTAAATTTTTGTCCATTGATTTGCGACATTGAATTCAAACACGGGAATCATATCCACCATTGCGAAACCCTTTTCGTGAAGTTTGTGGAACAGTACAGCATCGCTCTCTGCTAATTATTGCAACAGTTTAAACGCAAGAATCGTAGAATTCAATTCTTTCTTAAACTTGTATCAAGCGATCTACTCGTTGATATTGATCAAAGTGATACCAATGATTCACAATAGTTCCGTCTATTCAAACTTAGTTGAAAAAGAAAAGAGAAATGTCCAGAAAAATGTCCAGTTGCAAGAAAATCAACATAACCTCAACGCCCGCTTCTCGCCACGGTGGAAAGCAGCGTACGCGAATCGAAGAGACAAAATGAGAATATCATCGACTTCTTCGATCTTCTCGTCACGACGTAACTATATCCGCAGTACAGAGAATAGAAGCATGCTCCTCGGGTTTCGAGCGACCGGAAAATCCGATTGAATTCTCGCAGGAAAGGAAACGTCATGACGCAATCGAAACTTCCGAGTTTTCTGCTTACCACGTGGTTGTTGCTCGGCACGATAGCGACGAAATCGAGAATGGGGGAGTTTCTGCACAATTTACAGGAATACGAGATCGTTCATCCTCGAGTGATCTCGAACGAGAACGGGAGAGGAAGGAGATCGACTCGAGAAAGTTTGGAACCGATGCTCCTCGAGATCAGCAACTGGACACTGAGGACCGTGGTCAACGATCGTTTCCTCTTCTCTACAAATTTCACCGTGGATTGGGTGAAACGTGGGAAAAGGAGGTTGGAGGATCACGAAAAGGCGAGATGCGATCTACGACGGGGAAGTTTGGAAGGCGACGAGAATTCCTTCGTCGTGGTCACTATTTGCGAGGAGGAGGTGTACGCGATGATGCTGACCGGTCAGAGATCGTTCTTCGTGCAACCATTGACGAACGGTGAACACGTTATGTTCCAGTCGAGGCAGGTTAAGTCGTGGTGGTCGACGAGAAAAAATTTGGGTGACGATGTTGTTGTTGCAGGTATTGATAATAATGATTGCATTATTTATCATCAGAGATGGATTTAAATAATAATTCGTGTAGTTCGAAACTTTCTGTTGCAAATGCATGAATATCCGAGTAGAGTATTTATTAATAGAAATTAGATCGATCCGCGGATCAATTGGCTCGTCGATTGAGAAACAAGTCGATTGAAATTATTGATTGGAAATTTTTTGTCCTTTTAATGTATTTAGAAATAGACCGAAGATTTATATTTAGTAAAAAAAAAAAAAAGCGTTAAAAAAGATAATGGAAAATTTATTATATTTGATAAGTAAAAGTAATCTTCGTGAAAATTGTGTTTAACACGGGAACGAATTCTAGTTTCATCAATTATTTACAACGTGGAAAATTGATTGCAATTGAATTACGTAACACGTTCACGCGGATACAACTTTGTGAGCCGTACGAGTCAAGTTGTATCGGAATTTATCGTATATACATGCAGGAAAATTTGAGACACAACTTTTAGTTTATAAATTAATTACTTATTATCCGAACATCCATTTGGGACGCAGGTTTTAAAACGAAACAAAATTTTAATTGTTAAATCACTTTTACTAAAGAATAAAATGTAAATTTTTAAAATTATGAAATTATTTTATATTTTACAGAGAAATCGAAGAAGTTAAAGAGAAAAGATAAAAAATCGAAGCGAAGAAGACGGGAATCGTTGAATCACGATGTTCAGACATTTTACAATCTTTCCGGTGACATATTTGACGTGGAGTATCCAGAAGCTGAGAAATTAATTCTATACGATGAAAAAGAAGAAATATCTGCAGAGTATAACGATACGAGTGTGGAAGAATTACCGATTGACGTAAATTCTGAGGAGATTGGACATTTTTCTGGACCCAAATGGCAAAGAAATAAAATATCGAGTAAGCTAAAAATATTTTTCAATAAAAATTATTATTCGATGGAAATATGAATCGATGGATATATTTCCAGGAAGAAAACAAGGCAGTAAAGAATCGCCGCCACGATGGTTGGAGCTTGGAATAGCTGCAGATTATTCTGTGATCGATTTTCACGGAATTCGAGTACAACAATATATCTTGGCACTTTTGAACATCGTGAGTAATTTTATCGATTGATATTAACTTATAAAATATAGATCAGGCACGTTCGATTAGAGTTATATTTGAATTCCAGGTCAGCGCGATTTATATGGACCCGTCACTCGATTCGAACATGGTTCTTGTGATCGTGCGAATGATTTTATACGCGGAGAAAAGAGATGGAATGGTAAACGAAGGAAAATTTATCTTTCAATCAATTCATTTGGGCAACCCAAGTTACGAAGGGAAACCCAACAAGATTAAAGTAGAATATGAAAATTGTGAAAGCGTAAATAGTGCAATAACTTATAAATTTTAATGTAGGTTCGCCGTGGCGACGCCAGACGTTCTCTCGAAAACGTAAATAAATGGAATAGAAAAATGCTATCCTCGGCAGATGTAAATCATGACGTTGCAGTATGGCTGACACGGTTAGATATAGGAGGTCCTTCCGGATACGCACCTGTGTCGGGGGTATGCGACCCCTCCAGATCGTGCGCCTTGAATCGAGACGAGGGTTTGACTAGTGCTTTCATCATAGCTCATGAGGTGGCACACATGTAAGTATTGTATTATTATGCAATATTTTTCATGCTGAAACCCTAATTCCTTTTAATATTTTACGTGTTTTCATCTGCTTATCCAGACTCTTTCGTATTAAAAGTTGATGCTGATTTCAAAAATAAATGAGTCATTAATTCATTTAATTTAATTCAATTAAAAATTTTACGATAATAAACTCAAAATTAAAACTATTATAATTCCAAATTTTCAGAAAATGAACAACACACCATTAGAAACACAGAATGTTGCATTTTAAAACGTCTTCACATTCGGCATGATTCGATTTTCGATTTCAAAATATCATTGTATGAGAAAGAGTAATTTTTAATTAAACGACTATAATTTTCAAAATAGTAGCTTCCTCGAATTAGATTAGAAGTTGTTGGAAGCGCAGAATATTGTTCTCTAAAATGTATTTTCATTCGACACGATGCAGATTCCAAAATTATTGTCGTTCAAACGAAACGGCAATTTTGTAATTTTTAATGTAAAAATTCGGACAAGTTTGAACCATTGTATCTGAACCTGTAATTACATAATGATTACATCGATTGCCGATCTACATTTCTACCTACATTTCTACATACTTTACCATATTTTTGTTAGAAATTTATTCTTTCGGTTTGGTTTTCCTCGTTACAAGGCTAACACTGTTATCAAAATGAATCATTTCCATAATATTTCTCCTTTTTGCACAAATATTATTCTGATTACTCTACAAGTATCTTCCTATTTGTATCTTAAAAAATCACATATCTGTGTTTTATCATTTTAACATTTAATTGTTTCTTTTTCCTCTTTAACGTACAAACGTGTTTACCATAGTCTAGGCTTGACTCACGACGGGGACGAGATGACCGGAAACGCTTGCAAGGAAGAGGGATCTCGAGGAAGCGTGATGGCACCCATGGTCGCGGCCACGTTTCATCACTTTTATTGGTCCGCCTGTTCCAAAAAGGAATTCCATCGAAGAGTGAGGTAAGTCGATGGTTATTTTACTCTGGAATATATCCTTTTTAGAATTATACAATCTTAAAATAGATATTTGCAGACGGTGGTCCTGTTTGCTGAACAAACCGAGACACGATAACCTAGGCCAATTGAGAACAACCGTTCGGGAGACGTTCACCATGGACGAGCAATGTCGCATGGAATTTGGCGAAGGGTGAGTCAGTCGCGTATGTGCACGAACTACACGTGCACATTGTATATAAATAATGATATATTTTATTATCCTCAATTTGATATTCAGAGATCTTTTTTAATTTTACTTACTTTTAAATTTCATATCATTTGCATGAAGTTTATCACTCGAATTTGTATTCTTGAATGAAAAGTTACGAGCATTGCAAAACTTTTGACATCGAGGAACCATGCTCCCGTTTATGGTGTGGCAACACCAATATTTCCGAATCGTGCAAGACAAAGAAGGGACCGCCGTTGGAAGGCACGTTGTGTGGAACCTCGAAGGTAAATTTTTAATATTAATTATTGAATGTCAATTACAAATGTTAAGAATAACGAGTTACATGTTATTTTAGTGGTGCATAAAGGGTCGATGCGTATCAACGAATAGAAAGAACTTCGATTTTGGCGTGATATTGAATAAACCTAGAAACGGTGGTTGGAGTGGATGGACTTTCTGGAGCAAGTGTTCGAGAACCTGTGGAGTAGGAGTACAGTGTCGAACGCGAAAGTGCAACAAGCCTTTGTTAGCGTTTCGAACGATTCTTTTCATTTTTTTTTTTCCTTAAACTAAATAATTTTTATCTTTGATCTCTATCGATTTTCTTTTTCTTCAAAGGCCAGCCTACGGTGGAAAATACTGTTCAGGCCCCAGCGACGATTGCAGGGTATGCGATTTGCCAATGTGTTCAACCTCGATCGATCTCAGAGCTCAACAGTGCACCAAATTGGCCAATATTCTGTATCTCGAGAGATTCGATTCCACTAGCGACGTAACTTGGCTACCTCACGCCTCCAATCAGGAGAACCTGAAATGTCGATTGGTCTGCAGGAGTAAAGAGACAGACGAGATATTTTACACGAGGAAGCACTTGATCGATGGTACCCCATGCTCTTACGGATCGACGGATATATGTATACAGGTAAGATTTGACGTTTTTAATATTTTTTCAACAGCTTTTCTATTTTTAAGTTTTATCATTTCTTTTTTTCTTTTTCATGGACAAAATTAGAAGATTTATTAAAAGTATTTTCTTATATTCTTTGAACTGCTGTAACTTTGGATGGAAATGTGATAGAGCGATGAAAGGGTAAAGCATTCTAAAGGGTAAAGCTTTTATTTTTGCGCATTTGAATTGAATTTTCTTCAATGATCTTTTTATATTTTATATACGGAGCTTATATTTTATATAAGAATGAAAGGATGGTTTTCTTCGTTAAAAATTTTACATCTTGTGTGGATCTTAATAATTTTTATACGTGATTTATTTTGCAACGAGCATCTAGAAGAAAGTCTCCTTTAAAATAATCCCTTAAAAGTCGATATACGATATCTTTTTTACTGTTTTATCAAGTATTGAATAAAAAATGAGTACGGTAGATGAGAAAGAAATTGTACTCTAATTTTTCAGGGCTTGTTTTAAAGAGGAGACTTTCCTTTAAAAGGTTATTGTAAAATAAAATGTGTAGAAAATTTATTGAAGTAGAAACAATTTAATTTGCGAAATTTTTAAGGAAAAAATCATCCTTTTTTCTGAATTTTGTTTTTCAATGTAAAAGAGTTATCAAAACAAAAATTCAATTCAAATATTTCAAAGTAGAGGCTTTACTCTTTGAAATAAGCTCAAAATGACTACTCTATGATATTTCCTTCCAAAATTATAACATTTTAAAAAACTTGAATTTGAATTAACAATTTTTTAACTTAAAATTTTTATCTTTTAATTTTGTATAACGTGCATTTCAATCTAGAATTGTAAATTGATTAAATATATGAGTATATACTCGAAATTAATACTATTTTATTGTTTTTAATAATATTAAAAAATCTTTTAAATAAAAATTGGATAATATTAAGAATCTGACGTTCTTAATTCTTTGTTAGATATATATATATATAGAGTTGATATGAAGATCAATTATTTTTCTTAAATAAAATTATATATTTTTTAATCTATTGCATAATAAATGCAGCAGTTATTCTCTGCAAAAAAACTATTGTAATAATTTGCAATAAAAATTATTATTTTAGGAGAATTTTAATTATATCTAATTATCTCTTAAAATAATACATTTTAGATTTTTATAGCTTAATACTTTTTTATAGAGAATACAATAATGCATCTATTAGTGGATTAAAAAATATATAGTTCCATATAAAAAAATAAAGTTGATCTTTACAACTTTTTTATGCTTCCTTATACAGAAAAATTAATAACATGATAATGTACCCCTTTTAAAACCATTCAATTTTTATTCAAAATATTTTTCAATATTATTAAAAATAAATGAAATATTCAAGATAAAGTGTGGAGGAGTTAACAGGTAAGTATATGAAATATAAATACCTTTAGAATTAAGGAAACTGTTGAAAAAACGATTAAAAAACATAAAAAAATGGAAACTGGTGAAAGGTAAGTATATAAGGTAAGTATATGAGGTAAGTAAAATGCGCAAAATATGTCAAATACTTGTATAAAACTTTTGTTAAAATTGTATTCTTCGAAGCGATGATCATAGGCAAGCCATAATTCCAAGAATTTGACGTCACTTCTAAGAACTTCGGAAATTCCGAGAATTCGACGTCATTTCCAAGAACTGCCGAAATTCTAGGAATTTGACGTCATTTCCAAGAAAAATTTCTCGAACGACCTCCTATCAACTTATGTTCTCCTAATACAAAATCGCACAATTGGCCAAAACTTTTCTTCATTCGAGAATCTCGATAATTCCAGGAATTTGACGTCATTTCTCAGAACTGCCGAAATTCTAGGAATTTGACGTCGCTTCCATGGACTGCCGAAATTCTAGGAATTTGACGTCATTTCGAAGAACTGCCGAATTCTAGGAATTTGACGTCATTTCCAAGAAAAATTTCTCGAGCGACCTCCTATCAACTTATGTTCTCCTAATACAAAATCGCACAATTGGCCAAAACTTTTTTTCATTCGAGAATCTCGATGATTCCAAGAATTTGACGTCATTTCTCAGAACTGCCGAAATTCTAGGAATTTGACGTCATTTCGAAGAACTGCCGATATTCTAGGAATTTGACGTCATTTCGAAGAACTGCCGATATTCTAGGAATTTGACGTCATTTCTAAGGACTGCCGAAATTCTTCAAATTTTTCGACTTTTTAAAAACTAATTCATATTCGAAATTTTTCTTGAAATTTATTTTTCTTTTATACTTACCTTTTTTTCATACTTACCTTTTCTCATACTTACCTTTCTTCATACTTACCTTTTTTAACTACTATATTTGCAGAAATAAGTCATTTTTTTCATCATTTTACTTAATACTAATTATGAAATTTGATATTTTTAGCTGTTTTATACTCACCTTTTACAAATTTATCCCTTTAACTCGCAGAATTGTCAGGAAAATTGTGAAAAAGAAAAAATGAAAAGAAAAAGATGTGAAATATATAAAAATATATTAATATTAATATTATTACAATAATAATATGTTAAAATTAAAATGAAAAGTATATATAATATATAATATTGTATAAAAATACAAAATAATACATATAAAATATATTACAAAATATAAAAGCATAAAATATATAGGCAACATAAAAGTATAAAAATATAATTCATAGGAAAAATATATATAAAAATTAATTTATACATGAAATATATTTACAATATGTACAAATTTGATTGAATAATACATATATTATTGTTAATTGTTAATTGTTAATAGATTAGATAAAAAAGACAATAGTTTGCCAAGTATCGGGACCATTATCATTTGTACTGTCATTATACATACACACATATATATATATGTATAGACAAGTATAGACAAAGAGAGAAAAGAATAAAAGATGGACAGAAATAGGATAAAAATATCAGAAAAGGACAGAAATAGGATAAAAATATTGAAATCAGCGCCATCTCCAGAGTGCCGCAAATGAAACATAGTTAGCGTAAGAATTGACTGTTAATGCCATCTCTTGAGAATTGAAGACAACTTCTTTAAAGATAGTAGGTAAAGTAGAATAAAAATTGAGTGTTAGTACCATCTCTTAGAAGTCAAAGATATCTCTTTGAAGATGAAATACAGTAAGAATTGACGCCCAATGCCATCTCTTGAGTATAAAAATTATTTATTTTCTAAAAACAATCAAAAGATGGCACTAACATTCAATTTTTATTCTACTTTACCTACTATCTTTAAAGAAGTTGTCTTCAATTCTCAAGAGATGGCATTAACAGTCAATTCTTACGCTAACTATGTGTTTCATTTGCGGCACTCTGGAGATGGCGCTGATTTCAATATTTTTATCCTATTTCTGTCCTTTTCTGATTATCTATTATCTTTGTCTGTGCTTCAACTAAACGATTCCGATTAACATTATTTAATTAACATTGTTATTTTCTTTTCTTAATACATATTTATCATACATATATTATAATCTAAGATCTACCACACTAATAGAATCGTTCTATTATATGATTAACTGTATTTATGATTATTTAATAAAATATTTCTTTCTTCAGGGTGAGTGCCATGAAATGGGATGCGATCACGTTTTAGGATCGAAAAAAGTGTTCGATATCTGCGGTGTATGCGATGGTGATAATTCGAGTTGCGAAAATGTCATCACCAAATTCCATCGGAAGCTTCGACGAGGTCAGTCCAGTTAAAATTGATTTCTTAAAAATATCGATGAACTTTCCCTCAAGATCGGATATTTAAAAGGCTCGTTCCAAATTAGTTTAAAGGTATAGAAATTACGAAGATGGAGCGATTAGTTGTTAATTCGTGTTACACGAAACCCTCTTCGATTTTCTCCAAGTTTTATGACGTAGAAGAAGAGAGAGGAAGTAAAACAGCAAAAACTTTCAATTACTATAGAGAAACTATGCGATGAACGACGTGGTTGGTAATTGAAGAATTTAATCTACGGCATCTCTCTTTGAAATATTTGAATTGTCAGAATTGTTAGACCTGGAAAATTTAAAAATTCATTAATATTGATTTAAATTATTAACTTAATAAAATTAATATTTAATTTTGCATAAAAGCCTTAGAAAATATTACACTACGTTGAGTCTAAATTAATTTTATGTTTCAATTATTTTTTTAATAAAATAATTGCTTATCAATTTTAATTTAAATAAATATTATATTTATAAATTTTGTAGAAGTAACACGCGTCGCTATAATACCACGGGAGGCGCACAATTTGTGCATGAACGTCACAATAACTGGGACTCCGCACTTCCACAGAGATAACCTAACAATCGTGATAGGCGATGGTAGGAGAAGACGAAACGTTCAAGAGAATTTAGCTTCTCGAAAGCGAGATATAACGATCGTTCAAGGTGCTGCCTTTCGAGTTCAGAAGCGTGGTAATAACACGTATTCCATAGAGGCAAATGGTACTACGTTCGAAGATGTCGTCATTTTGGTATGAAAATTGGTAAAATATAACTTAAGAATTTTGTTAAATTGCAACATACCATATTTTCAATTCTGCGCCAATTCTCCATATTTCAAAAATGATAAATTTTCTATAGCTTATGGTAGCAAAGAATACGATACAGCAAGGAATCTCGACTACGGTTTCCTTGAGTTATTTCTTAAATCGCGATGAAAGGAGCGCTAAGGATAGATATGTATGGCTGTTCGGTGGTTGGAGCTTTTGTTCGGCCAGTTGCGGTGGTGGAACCCGTCAGAAAATGATAGTCTGCAAGGATGAGAAAACAGGGAGAATAGTGTCGCGAAGAAAATGCCCGCTGACAATGAAACCGAGTCAAGAGATAGAGAAATGCAACGTCTTTAGGTATCTATTTTACTAAAAATACTGAAACTAACAATAATAACAAAAATCTGCAACTTGTGGTTTCACTTGGTTTGATAGTAATCTAATCTTTTAATTATTATCTTAATTAAAAAAGAGATAATTACAAAAGAATAAAATAATTTTTTAAAAATAAAATGGAATAAATATAATTTGTTTTCTACTCACAGTTGTACCTTCAAATGGATACCAGGTCCATGGGAAGCATGTTCAACTACATGTGGAAAATTTGGCGTACAATTACGACAGCTCTATTGCATTCATTCGGGTTTCAATGGAACAGAGATGAATAGGAATAACGAGATAGAGGTGTACAGAACGATGGTACAATCATCCATATGTCAATCGAGTCCTATGCCTACGAGTACCAGAGAATGCAACAGGATTCCTTGCCCTGGACGTTGGATTTTTACAAACTGGTCCTCGGTAATTTTATCTTCTGAAAATACATAAAATTAAAAAAATGAATGATAATTTGTCATGTGAACGATATATGATACGTAATATCATAGATATAATATTATAGTACAGGGATCTTCATAACCAACAAGTAGAAACGAGTAATAGTTGTGAAGTTGGTTAGTTATGAAGATGTGAAGTTTGCCCATTTCTCCTGTAACATCATAGATAATATTAGTATCATTCACAAAGGATAATATTTTAATTTTAAATTATCTCGATATTGAAATGATATTTTAATTTCGAAATTTATAATTCCAGATTAATACATTCGCGTTTTTTTTCTTTTCCAGTGCTCGAAGAAAAATGGGAAAGGTATACAGTCGAGAATAGCCAGATGCATTCCTCCAGAGAACGAATCGTTTTACAATTGCGACGGTCCGACCGTAAAAACGGAATCCGTTCTTGCACCGGTCACGTGACAAGAGCTATCGAATTTCCATCTCGTTGCCTCGGAGACAAGAATCGATTCTGCTCCATACCGAGTTTGAAACGATACTGCAGCGTGGCTGCTTTTAGAAAAAGGTGTTGCCGTTCTTGCGAAAAAAACGAAAATTTCGATTCGTCCAATTCTTTCGATCGGGAACACCGCATGTTGCAAACTTGAATCAAATTTAAAATTGTTTTTAATAAATATATTTATTGTTTGCGATAAATTTAAAATAGAATTTATTTTAGCATTTAAATTATTTCAGATATTGAGATGAAAGATTATGGTAACAGACTAAGATTTATTTAAATTTCGAGTATACAATACACAGTGATATTATCATTAGTGCGAATTAAAAAATCTAACAAAATAAATCCAAATCAAAAAAAAAAAAAAAAAATCGGGATGATCAAACACTTTATAATAAATATCGAAGATAAAATGGTAATATGGAACTTTGCAGATAACTCGATTTGTTGCCAATTTTATATATATACCATAATTCATTCGTTTGACGAATATTAAAAATTATACAATCCCATTCTTATATTCTTCAATGTATATATATATTAATAATTTATTGATATTTAAAATAATTTTCAATTATTTTTTATATATACATATATAATCAAAATTAAAATTTCAATAAAAATATATTATATTCAACTTAATCATAATTAAATATATTATTTGAGTATTTTTATTTTTTAAATTAATAATATTTAATAATAATAAAGCTGCAATAATAAAATATACGTTGCACATGATATTCCATATTATCATATTCTCTTCCAAATCGTTAAAGAAGCTTCTACAACTCGTTTTTTACGAGTAGTAGAGAAATCGGAAGATTCGATTCGATCGAAGAAATTTTCATTTTCTTTCATGTACTGCCCTATGTTATATCTTTCGACTTCCGCTTTCTCCAATTCACGCCTGAGATTATAGCTGTTAAAGATCAGCGAAGATATGTACGTAAATATATGTATAGGGTGCTCCAGATTTATAGACGCAAATAAAATGTTTAAAAAATATCAAATTTTATATATATATATATATATATACGATGTATATAGGCTAAAATATTTTGTATAATTTTATGTATCGAATTATTTAATTAATAAACAAAAACGATAAAATATTTCGATGTCTATTAATTTAAAAGATTTAATTTCTTTCTCTAAAAGAATAAAAAATATTTTTAAAAAATAATTAAAAATTAACTCGATTTGCATCTATAATCCTGTTATATCGACCCTTGAACAATGATATATCAACTGAAACGATCATTAGTCGCAACTGGTTGGATTAATGCCCTCACTACATGCTCGGTTATCTCATCTCGTTCTACTGAGTTACAATAGTAATAAGTATTGTCTGTTTTTCCAACTGGATTCTTATTCGCATTTCTTTCCATATCTTTTTTTTATATCTAGACTTAATGTAAACTGTAACGTCATGGCGAAACGTCTTTGAAAATCGTCGTTGAATCTTATACTCGGTGTGACATCGGCGAAAATCCTTTTAGTTACGATTAATTAATGATATATAGTTTAATACGATTCGTTTCTTTGTTATTTCTTCGTGAAATTTACATGGGTGCATCTTAACACGTGCGCGATTAATTATGCCGTTGATTACTTATTACAATTCATTATTATATAATATTGTAACTATGTATACGTATGTATATAGATATATCTTCTATACATATTATATAATTCATTTATATATGTATATATATATATAACTCTGGATACAAATAATGTTTACAAAAATATTAATTTGGGAAGGCAAACTTTTAATTATATAATTGTAAATCGTTTATTCTTGAATACTCACGAATATAACAATAACACGGCTGATTTATCTACAAACACAGAAGAAAACGTCTTCTCCGCGAATTGAAATCAACTCTCGTCTCGAATTACCAACTCTTTACTAAAAAATCTCACGATCTGGAACAATCTTCACGAAATTACGTTAATATACGTTTCTCGTACGCGAATAGGTCGTTTAAACAAGGCAAACTTCTCGTTTAAAAGTTAGATCGTAAAATTTTCGAGATTAAATTACTCGAAATGATTCTTTGGTTTGTTTGAAAAGTTTAACATGTACGGTGCAAACAATTTGCAATTTCACTAAATAATGATAAATAGATAACTTCGTATTTTTAACACCGTTAACAGGTTAAGCAGATTCCTTGCTTATCGATTAATGGTCTTGTTCGTGCACGTGTTACTGAAAATGGCGTATAACCGAAAGCATAGCAAAAGGGGTTCAAAAGAAACTTTCGGTTTAATGTAAATTTTACCCAATTCGAATTTCTGTCCACAAATGGATGAAATTCACGATTGCCACTTGATCGATAAAACACGAATAACTTCGTTCGTTGCTGGTGAAACCAGAGATAGTCCTCTCGATAGGGTTCCGTTTTACGATTACACGGAAATAGGCTCGACGGAAACTTTTTTGTTTCGTTATTCTGTCGATGGTTCTGCATGTGTAAAAATTCACATTATCTCTATATATTAATCGTTTCCATTTATACGAACAAAACGTATTTCCTGTCGCGTTCGTTTTTTTTTTTTATTCCGATGCCTCGCAACGTCCGCCTGACGCACGTCGTTCTCGTCGTATAATAAATTACTAAAACATTATTATACACTACATACACGTTATGAAATCCCTAACGTTAAGTTTCGTTTTTTTTTTTTTTTTTGGTGAATCTTCAACGATAAGGTTCGTTTCGATGAGTTTCTCATGTGTTTGCAATATTACTAAAAGTATCTATATGATTGTATTTTCGTTTTTTCGTTTTTTTTTTTTTCTATTTTTAGGTATCATTTTTTTTTTTTTATTATCGTTGAAATTTACGAATAGGAAGACTGTAATGAGACACATATCTCGTTGATCCTTATCATCGATCGATTAAAAATTATCTATTTTAACGATTCGAATTTTTAGTGCTTTGGTAAAACGTAAATCGTGGCTCGATACAGCTCGTTGTCATTTTTCACAATCGTTCCACGTAATTGCCGGGGAAAGTACCAAAGTAGCCGGTCCTTTGACTGGAACCAACGTACCAACCGTCGTCGCATTTTTCCATTACGTATACCGTGTCGCCTTCTTTCAGTTCAAGTTCATCTTCGTTTTGTGGTCTATAATTGTAGAGAGCTCGATATCTGAAAAAATTAAACAGTTAATCAATATCAATTTACTATCAAACGATGATTAAGAAATAATCGGTGAATATATGAAAATAAAAGAATTGAAAAAAAAAATGAAGAAATTATCATTTAAAGTTAATAAACAGTAACAGATACAAATAATAATCAGTAGTCAATGTTGCTGATGCACAGATGTTTCTACTATTTATAATTTGAAGAGCAATCCTGTATTTTTTTTTTATAACTTTTTCTTCGGAAAAAGTTTTTCCAAATATCTTCTTAAAACATATTATTTAACATTTTTATATTATTTTACAGAAAACTAAATAATGTGATACGTTTGAGAAATTCAATGGTGCAGCAAAAGAATGTAAATTTATAATTCTATTGTTAAACGTGAAAAAAATATCGACGATTTTTTTTCTTCTACTTCTTTCAATCCTATAAAATAAAATTAAAATTAAAATTTTTTTTGAAATATATTGGAGAGAAACTCACGGTATTGGTTCAGAGTGTGTGTCGATGTGTAATGCTTCGGAAACATGCAATTTGTTCCCTCCCATTCGTGGCTGAAAATTACAGAAAAAAAAAAAAAATTGTTAAATCAATTGTTAAAAACAAAAATTAAAATTAAAGAATATATTATTTGACTAGCTCCGATTTCTCACTTGCTAATCTATCTCAAAAATGCAACATCAGTAGCAAATGCCAAATCAGCATATTTTTTGTTTTTAGTATTCACTACTCGTGACGTATGTATTTCCAAAAAAAGAAAAAGATCACAACATTTGCAAAGCTTCACCGTTCAGAATCTCGATTGCTTAAGTTGTCTCATTTTTCATAAGTACAATGTATTTAAAATATTAACCAGTGAATTATAGTGTGGCTGAGTTGTGTTCATATTAACTGGTATGGACGGCATATAGTGATGAGGTCCCATACTCATTTTCCCTCCAGCTGATCCGTTTGCCAAAAGGCTATGCGCAGCTGGAGCGGCAACTGGTTTGTTTTGTGTTGGCGTTTCTGTAATCAAATATCATTCACAAGTATTAGCAGAAGAAAAATTAAAATAAAAACAAAATTTAACAAAATGTTTAAAATGTTGGAATTTCAAATTACATATACGGTACCTGATCTGAGGCCAGGCTCTGTGATAACTTCGACGTAAGAGATGGGGAATATCCCTTTTCTGTTTCCAATACGTCCCTCATACCAATTTTCATCTACTCTTCTCGTCAAGACGACAAGTTCTCCTATAAAAATAATTTTTTCTTTTGTTTAGTTTTATAAATTAGTTTATTTATAGTTTATTATTTTTTTATTTAATTATATAGAATAAAAAAAGATATTCGCTGCATTTGAAACGCAGCTTCGTGATATAATGCGAAATATTTTATTCATATTTACCTTTGGCCAAAGATAACTCGAGATTTGTTTGAGCAACGAAGTTGAATTTAGCTCGTGCTTGTCCCTCGTATGGTTTCTTTGGTGTGGTTCGCATACCGTCATAGGGTAAAATCTGTAACAAAAAGACAACGTTAATTTTATACCACGTAAATATACCATTTTACACAATATTATTTTCCATTGTAGAGTAAAAATATCTGACAAATGAATAAATTTATCTAACAATCATCAACAAAAACCTTATTAAACCTTATTAAAATTAGAAAAATTTTGAATCGTTATAACTTCGAAGATTTCTAATTTCCGGTCAATGAATGAAGGATCATTAGAATCGTGCACTTTAAAATGCGCTTTCATTCATCAAGATACGGTTTTCTGGTTCCAGAAATATCGTCGTCTAAAGAAAAGATAATTTTTTTAATCGTTTCTATTATTAAAACGAGAAAAACTTTGAATCGTTATAACTTCGAGGATAGTAATTTCCGGTCAACGAGTGAACGATCGTTGGAAACGCGAAATCTTTGTTCTTTGAAACACCTTTTCATTTCTCTCGATACGAATCTCCGTTCTCGAGATATCGTCGTGTAAATAAAAATAATAATTGTTTATTATCTCCTATTTTTACTCGCGTCTTGTCTTATTCACCTATGCCAAACTTCAGACTAGTGACAAACGCAAGAAGATATATGCATTTCTAGGAAAAAATATAAGTTACTAGATCGCATCTCCGTTCACAACGTCTCAACGGACAATCGATCGAAAAAAAAAAAGAGAAATTTCATTATTCCATATTTCAATTTTATCTTGAAAAATATTATTAACGAACGATGAACGGATTCGAAGTTTGTAAATTTGAAGAACAAGAGGAATAGCGATGAAGGGGAATTACCTCGACGTAATTCGATGGGAACAGGCCGATCATAGCGTTATGCTCACCCTCGTACCAGTTCTTGTCTACCTGGCGACGCACGAATATTATGTCACCGCGGCGGAAATTCAATTCCCGGCAAGATTGGCCGATAAAGTTGTAGAGCGCCCTTGCCACGAGCCGAGGTTCCGGTGTTTGCTCCTGGGATCGGCTTCTGTGGCTCAGATCGTCCACGAAATCGTCGTAACGGTTCAAAGGGATCGGCGATTTCTGCGATGGTCTGGAATCGTAAAAGAAAATTAAAAAAAAAAAAAAAAAAAAATGTCTCGTGTTCCTCGAAATCGAATTATATCGTAGAAAATTATTTCAATCGTGCCTTGATCTATTATTTAAATTACTTCTTAGATCACGTTATATTTTATCTTTCGATGAAATCTCGTGTGAATGTAAATGGTGAAACGATTCATGGTTAAATTAAATCCAGTGTAAAGCTTGAAATTTAATCGAAGGAACTTATTATAGAATAGAAGCGTCGAATTAAAACTGTGGAATTAATCTTCTTATGCAGATAGAAGTTGTACGCGTCACTTACGTGTTACGCTCGTGTATCCTCTTGTACCCTCGTTCAAGAACAATGAATAATTCTTACACAATATTTATAGAAAACGGTTACACATCCGCGCAAAGTGCAATTATAGGAGACGGTCAGTCAGTGAAACAAGTGGTCTCTAACAAAGAAGATTGTTTTTGCTACAACAATTCTTCGAATTCTTGCTCTTAATTCATAATTATAAAACGAAATGTAAAATCAAATGATGATTTTATCTTAGCCACGATTTTGTCTAATCCACATGGAAATTTATATTTATAAATATAAATATGAAATATATCGTGCATAATATAATTTCCAATCTTGCGATTTAAATAATAATAATAATAATTTCTCGTACGATCATTCAAAATTCGAAATCGAATAATTTAACATTGATTCGACACAAAATGGAAATTTTCCAATTGAATTTTTCAAATTGACCGTTCGCGAATATATACCTCAGAATAGAGAAAAGTCAACGACACTTTAATACATTCTCAGACCAGACATAAATTTATTATTCTTCCCATTACTGCTCAAGTTATTACGCAATGCGCCACGTATTCTTAAGTTATTTTACGCGGGCGTATTAAAGTGTAGATTGACTCATCCGCGAAAAGGAAAATGGAAAAAGAATTTTTACGATACTGACATTTTATTTCCTCCAGAGTTAATAAACCTGCTCGTTAATTTTCAAAAAAAAGAAAAAAAAAAAAGAAATCTGTCTTTCCTTTCTCTCTCCATTCATTCGCGGAAATAACGAAAAATTTTTAATTTTCTTTCGAAATTTAATAATCCTATTCAATTGATAAATATTTAAACACCGTAGACACGGGAAGAATAATTGATAACATTCCTCCTCGTGTTAATAAAACAGATAAAAAGTAATAAAGAGCGGAGACTTACATGAAGTTGTCGGTGTGCCTCCTCGAATCGATGTCGTGGAGCTCCTGGAGATATTTGCGACGCCGTTCCTCTTGATAAACGCGTCGCATATTCTCCGCGCTTCGACGAGCGAGCTCTTCCTCGCTCAATGGTTCTTTCGCCTCTGTACGCACTGGTGAACGATAGTGAATCGTCACCTCGCCCTCCACATAACGCCTCGGTGATTCTACGACAGAGAACGTTCGTTGTTACAACCTTCCTAGATATCGTCCATTTCGATTTAATTTCGTCCTCTCTCTTTCGCCAAGTTGCCATTGTTCTTAATCTAATTTACTCGTGATTCTTTATTTATCGGTCGTTTGCTTCTCGTTCTCGTGGATGATCCGTATATGAAATAATCTCTGGCAAAAGGTATCGATGCAATTGTTCGAAGAGATTTAGTTTTTTTTTTTTTTTATTTTGCCAACATTTTATTTCGCGGATAATTATTTTTCGATTTATCAACAAATAACTGTTGCGCGTGTTAATTAAGATTAATAATGGATATTTCGAGGAGATTGATTTTAATCGAACGAATGCACGGTTTCCATAACGTATCGTGAAACAAAAATCTTGATTAATAAAGGGGAATAGAACGTGTTGCGCATAGATGTGCGCATAATCGTAATGACAAATGGAATTAGCGCATAAATTAGCCCATTGCACGTGACGGTTCGATAATCGATACCTTTTGCGTGTACAGATTACAATTTAGTGATTAATCGCTTCTCGAACGTCATGGGAGAAATTATGGCGAAAAGATCGCATTATGTACAAATAATTACCGTAAACGCGTGTGTAAAAGTGGATCAACATTCTACATAACCTCGAAGAACGATACGCGATCTCTTCTCTTTCGTGGTGTTGCCTTACGAAACATGAGATTCGAGGGCCTTTACTGCTAAATAATCACGCGTTTTACTTTTACAATTATCAAACGCCGTTATTGAAAGATGCTAGTGACCCTAGTTACTAGTGACTTTGCTTGGAGTTTTTTTACGTACGTTTAATTTATGGAAAATTTAATATAAAGAATGCACGCGATACGTAAAAAGGTATAAAAAAATGCAAAATATAATAATACAATATTAGGATATTTGAATGACGAAACAGATTTTTTTTGTTCTTTTTCTGTAATTGCGTTCGTGAAAAATTTAAATTTGCACAAATAACAGCAACCTGTGGATAGTACAAGTTTATATAATAGTACGAATTTCATTTCATAAATCTTATTTTCCTGTATAATTTACATTGACCTACTCCTATAAAACGACCTACAATCAATAAGGCGTTCACGAATGTCTTTGCATTTCCTTGATTCTCTGAAAATTATCAGGGCGTGTAGAAATTCAACGGAGGAAGATGAAGGTTTTACGCGAAAAATCGGATCGCAGATAAGGAACAGAGGTTTAACCTATATTAAGGTCGTTGTACAACAGGAAGTTATATGGCTTCTTTTGTTCGCGCGAAGGAAGCTCTGATTATTTGGGAAAGATAATTTTGAAGAAGAATCGATTAACTTTGGAGAAACTATGAAATTTATTTAACTTTTCACGGTTTCAAGAAATTTCGCGAATCTTTTATGTTACCTTCATATCGTTCAATCATATTGTTATTCGGCAAAGGAATAATTTTTGCATTGCAAAGTAAATGAAATATCAAAATGTCAATCGTATCACCTTGCAAAACCGGTCTATTTCTCTTGATATATTATAGATAAAACGAACACGATAAAAAAAAAAATGAATTCAATTCTTTTAACGTCAAATTTCTGCATTAACCTCAAAATTACAATAATTGTACAAGCAGTATATACAGATCTAGGAAGAAGGAAGTCGATTTAAAAAATTTTTCGAATAATTTCAAAAAATTCCAAAAAATTAATAATAATTAGTAACGACAAACTAAAAATAAAATCTAAAGATTTTATTTATAAAGGAACGAACAATTACCAGTATATTGCGCCACAGTACGAGCACTTAAAGTAAATAAATAAATTAACCGGATCTGGATCCATTCCTTCTGGATCCGTTTCTTAGAAGCTCACACTACGTACACACTTTTATTCGAGCCAATTTGTTTGTAAATTCAACACGATGAAAACTACGTACGCACCACGTGTATATCCGCGCAGCGAGATCACGCGACTGATAAAGCGAAAGCAACTACGAACAAGCCTTGACGAACGTGAACGAGAATCGCGGATTGCGCCTGCGTTCTAATGCGAGTCAGTTTATTAGGATGTTGCAATCTGCAATACCGATCGAAAATACAAAATCATTATTTTAAAACAAAAAGTTTCGTTAATTGAGGGAAAAAAAAAAAATAAATAAATGAAACTAGAAGAAATTAGAGGAGTGGAGTGCAATATGAAATCGTTATTTTAAGAAATGAAAGATTTAGATCAGAATTTTTAATTCGAAAAAAAAAAAAAAGTGGAATTTTAGAAGTTGATTGCAAAAGCGAAAGCGTGAAGTCAATGTGAAAAGGAGATATTGGATTATTAAAATTTTATCAATTCAAGTTTGGAGAGGTGAAAATTAACGTTTAAAAAAAGAAAAATTTAAAAAGCGTTCGATTTAAAATTTTATTAGATCGGGGAAAAAAAAAAAAAGAAAAGAAATAAACGAAAGAGCGGATTGAAAGAAGAAAAAGTAGAAGAAAAAGTAGGAAAAAGTTAGTAGTACAAATTACGTGTAAACCGTAGATCGATGCGTCTCGGTCTGATGAATCCCTGACCACCCGTAAGATATTTCACCATCGTGGTTACATTTATTTCCTGAACCGTGTTTCAACACGGGCGCAGTTTCGACGAAAAAACTTTTTCTAAATTGCTACTGCATTAAAAAGTAATTCTCCTTTTGCGAGAAAATAAGAATAATGATGCTGATCATATAGCTAATAGTCAAATATTAAATTTTTATAGGAAGAGAAAATAATGGCGAGACGAATGAAAAATCATTTAACCTATTTTTACCCTGTTGGAAAATTTTCAATCAATCTTTTGAAATCGCTTCCTTGAAACAAAGAAGAAGAAAAAGATTTAAAATAAAAAATTTCTACGCGATTGAATGACCGGTTCTTTGACAGATTTTCATGCGAAATCAAATTTTTATGAACTTTTCTCATGATACGTAAAAAATTTTGCATAAACAATCTACGTTACGCACCGCAACATTATACATAAGCGAATCGCGCATAAACAATAAAATCCGACTTAATTACCATAAAATATTCTATTTACACGCATCTACATTTTCATCAATCAAGAACAAAGATACGAAAGATCGCAAGATGATCCAACTTACTATGAAAGAATATAGCCAAAATAGACGCGGGATTTGTTACACTCGCGGCGGGGATAGGATTATTTCGATAAAATTATGCGCATTATGTTTACTGACTGTACGGGATCGGGCCGTAAACCGAGGGAAGCGTGCTTCCGTTTCCAGCCTGTCCACCGTTCGTCGAATTCACGCTTTTCGACAAAGGGGGCGGCGGCCTCCTCTCGTGGAACGTCTCTCCTTCACCCACCCGCCGCGAATCCATCATCATCGAGTTCTTGCAATCGTTCACCAACTGAGGCGACTGCAGCTCGTCCATCGCGGTCAAAAATTTCTTCCAACTTTCCTCCTCCTCCGTCACGACGTTCCGCCCACACTTCTTCCTTCCATCGAGGCATCTCGAAGCAATTCTTCCCTCCTCTTCCTCATCTTCTCGAACGCTCTCCCCGACCGCGGAATCTCCATCGAAAGATCCGTTCCCCCCGCCATTTCTCAACGGATTTGCCAAAGAGGAATCGTCGTCGTTACTTCGGCCAATCTTCTCAACGCGTCGCTCCTTCGAACATCCGTCCTGACTCCACTCCTCCTCCTCCTCCTCCTCCTCCTCCTCTCGATTCTCGTCCGAGGAGCAACACTCGTCTCGAACCACGGTCGGCCGACTTTCTAACGGACAATTGTAATTTCGAATTAGAGCCACGTGGACGAGGCTCGACCGTTCCAACTCCTCGTACCTCTCGTTCACCCTGGACAGATCCAAAGGCGGAGGGAGCCTCGACCTTCTTAGAGCGAAGCTGTTCGGATCTGGCGTGGAGTCGGGAGGATTCGTTTCGCAGGAATTTTCGTTCGCTCTCCCGCGGCCGATCGACAAGTTGGGCAGGGATTTGCAAAGATTGGACGGGACCAACGATTCCACGACACTCTCCCCTCTAAACGACGTTGCTGCTCCCTTCCCGTCCTTGATCCTCCCCCAACATTTCCTCGATCCATTCCGCCCGAGCTTCACCACCAACTTGCCGCTCTCGCTCGTGGCCTCGTCCCTCCTCCTCCCCTCCGTTCCACCATCGGTCGAGTCGTGAGAAAATCGATCGCCCCCCTCCTCGATCGTCGTCCACCGGCGACCGGAGGACGATCTCCCCTCCCCCTCAAAATACCCCGCCGCGTCGAAGAACTTTCTTCTCAGGTATCTGTTCCTCTCGAAGATCTCGCGCAGCCTCTCCCTCGTCCCGCTGTGCGGCTCGTCGTTGTTGGCGAAGGGATCTCGTTGCGATTTCGCGTTTCTCGGGGTGCTGCGATCGTGGAAGAAGTAGGTCCTCTCGAACTCGGTCTTCGGCTCCATCCAGCCCCATCGACGGGACGGGTCGTCGTTTCGGGTTGGCTCTATCCAGACCGTGGTGGCCTTTTGCATCTGGGGCATGGAGCGTCTGCGATAGTTGGACGAAGGTTGGCGAAGGAGGTGGTCGATCTCGGCGGCGAGGCGAGTCCAGTGGACGGATCCTTTGTCCTTCGTCCTCGCGTCTTCTTCGATGCGCATTGCTCGCCGATCCTTTCAACCTGGCTGCGAGAGATTGCGCCTTCTTCAATCTGGAGATGGAATGGAAATTCTTTCGGAAATTAGAGGAGAGGAGAATTGGAAGAATGATCGATCATGGATCAACGTTCAAACTCACTCCTCTCGACGCGCGACCACTTCCACTGGTCGATCAGTGAGTAGTTTTGTGAAATTGTTCGAACGTAACTCGTAAAACTCTACTCTTTGGGATTTTAAATATAAGAGATTTATGAGGGAATTTGCTGAGTTATTCCACAATAATTTATCATCTAGTATTGAGTGTCAAACTTTTTGAAAAATTCATAGAATCTTTCTCCGGAAGATTCTTCTTATACAAAGAAGTAAATAGAGAGC